ATTAGAGGTAATTAGTTTAGCTCACGTAAGTTAATCTACTACTTACAGTCCAATATTAATTTTTGAATAATTTAATATTGTTTTATATTCTTACTCGCGTAATATTTCGAACTGTTTCAAGCCTTGAAATTAATTCTAGACTTAAAAATTAACTATTCTGCATTATATTTTGGGAATGACGTTGTTTGTGACGGTGTCAACTCCCAAACTCACATTGTACCCTTCTACTATGGGTATTTATCTTGTGACTTTAACATAACTGTCAGGCAATTAAGGATTTTTTTCTTCTTTTAAAATGTCAGTGCGTTTTTTTTTTTACGCTGCTAACATCGTGCTGTGCTTGGAGATTCTTAAAATTAAGATTCTCAAACTATACTTGTACTGAAAATTATTCTGCCTTAAAATACAGCGAGAATTTATCGATCGAATTTACTTGATCGAAACATGAACTTAACATGAAATCTACTATAGAACTTAGGAATACATATATTAATTCCATAAATCCTCCATTCACAATATAACATAATATTTTCTAGAATAATCTTTGGCTTAAAAATACATGAATTGTATTATTTAAGGTCTGAAATTTTCTCAGTCATTACAAATATTATTTTCCAAATATACCCATCCTCCTAGGGTTTTATTTTGCCTCTATTCATTTTCATCAGATTCTCTCTCTTTCTAAATTGTTTCTGTAACGCCCTCCAGAATTAAACATATTTAATTATGCTAAACTGTGAATTATTAGTGTGCCTAATTTAATTTTCACAATGAATCAATGGACTTTAAATTATTTTCAATATTTATAATTTCACCCCAAAATTTTTTGAAAATACACTTAAATTTTAATGCATTTCCCTTTTTTTCCATTTCTCTTTTTTCTTTTCTTTTCTTTTCGTTTTTCTTTGTTCTTTTCTTTTTTTTTTCCTTTTCCCCTTTCCCTTCCCGTGCAGCCCAGCCCCCCTCTCCTTCTTTTTCTTTTTTTTCTTCTTTCTTCCTTTGGTTCACCAACCAGCGCCCACCTCTCTCTCTCTCTCCCTCTCTCTCTCTTTCTTCCTTCCACCGTCGGCCACCACCTCCGGTCTCTCTCTCCCACCAGCGTTCTCTCTCTCTCAGTGGCTCTCTCTCTTTCTCTCTCTCGGCAGTTTGGCCGAGAATCACAAAAAAAAAATGAAAAACGGGAGAAATTGAGGGAGACAAAGCTCGAGCAACTGATTTGAGGTAAAACCCTTTGAAACCCACTCTTTGATTCGAATTTTAAGCTTGAGAAAGTTTGACTTTTGTTAGATTTGAATAATTTTGAGTTAGGGTTTGAATTTGAATAATTGTTGTTGGAATTGAATGAAATTTGGAGGTTTTTAGTTATTGGACTTGTTTAATTGATTGGAAATTGATTTTGATAGATTCTGGAGAATATATATTGAAATTGAACTTGAATTGCAGGTTTGGTATTTTTTCTATTTATGCCGGTATACTGCCGAAATTTCTTTAAAAACTTATTTTTAAACTGAAATTAAATAGGAAAACCAAACCTATAGATTGGATTTTAATTTTTAAAGAACCCCCAAACTGAATTATAAAATCATTTATGAAATTTGGATTTGAGTCAAGGCACACTAATAAGAAACAATTAAACATGATTGAGCTTAATTCGTTTTAGGTATGAGAAATATTTCCTAAGATATTATTTTTGTGATAAAGCTAGTGGAGACGGTTAAATATTAAAGCTTTAAGGAAAGCGGAGGCTAGGAGAACGGAAGGCTAACTCGGGTTTGACATCCGAGAGGTAGGATATTCTTGTCCATATCCTTGTTAGCCCTTTGAAACCCACTCTTTTATTTGAATTCTAAGTTTGAGAAAGTTTGATTTTGGTTAGATTTGAATAATTTTGAGTTAGGGTTCGAGTTTGAACAGTTATTATTGGAATCGAATGAAATTTGGGGATTTTTAGTTATTGGACTTGTTTAATTGATTAGAAACTGATTTTGATGGATTTTGCAGAATATAAATTGAAATTGAACTTGAATTGCAGGTTTGGCATTTTTCCTATTTATGCCGGCATGCTGCCGAAATTTCTTTAGAAACTTGTTTTTAAACTGAAATTAAATAGGAAAACCAAACCTATGAATTGGATTCTAATTTTTAAAGAACCCCCAAACTGAATTATAAAATCATTGTGAAAATTGAATTTGAGTCAAGGCACACTAATAGGAAACAATTAAACATGATTGAACTTAATTCGTTTTAGGAATGAGAAATACTTCCTAAGATATTGCTTTTGTGATAAAGCTAGTGGAGAAGGTCAAGTATTAAGGCTTTAAGGAAAGCGGAGGCTAGGAGAACTGAAGGCTAGCCCAGATTTGACATTCGAGAGGTAGGATATTCATGTCCATATCATTGTTAGCCTCACTTTAAATGATTTTGGCCAATGAAAATGTTTTAGAACAAAACATGTTTAAAGAAAATGATTTTAAAGAAATAGCATGAGAATGCTATTAAGTTTTCCAATGATTTTGAAAATAAGATTTTAAAGAGTATTATTTCTTAAAATGAAATATTTTAAGTAATGATACAACGCATGGTGGCCTCAGAGATCGGGATGTGAGAATCGCATCCTTGGGGGCAGATCCCGAAACCCGTACGAATCCACTTCTTGTTTAGTGGAACTATGGCTCTGCATTTTTCACTAGACAAACATTTTACCGCTTCTTGTTTAGTGGTATGATGAGCTGCACACTTTCATTATACATACATTTTCTACTATGTGAGTATTTCATTTTCTAAAAAGAGATAACCGGTTCCGAGTATATGTCTTCAGACCGTGAGTACCTTTATTTACTATGTTTTATAAAAATTATATCCTACTAGGCATTTCGCTCACTTTTCTTGTTTTTAAATGTATTAAACCCCTCTAGGCGACGCGAGGAGTAGTGCGGAGTAGATAGCTACTACTGGTGATGTAGACTTGTCTTCAGGAAGCGAAGAGTTGTATTTCTTCTTATCCTTTATCTTAAGATATGTATAAAAGATTATGGATTGTAAACTTAAATATTGCTAGACTATGGTTGATGTCACATTTACTTTTGTTTATACTCATGTATGCTAAACACCTGTGAGAATTCCTAACTTGATACCAAAGACATGGTTTTAAACTGGTTTGGTTAAAAATTTCACCACCCTTCTTGAAATTAAATATCTCTTGAATGCAGGGATTTGTTTGGAAATACCTGAATGTTTTGGATTTGAAAAATTAAAATATTTGCAACATTATTTGCTAATCACTCTCTTAAACAGGTTTAAGTTTCTAAACAAACCTCCACGTCACTAACCCCGGTTTGGGGTGTGACAGTCCATCTCTCTTTCTCTACGATCTTTGTCTCCCCCTGCACAATCTCTCTCCCGCTGCAAGATCTCTCTCTTACCTCTCCATCTCTCTCTTTAAAGATAACTCCGCTGCCGTAGTCGCTTGAGATCAGAGACGCGAACTAACATCACAATTTCTGTCGTCTTCTTTTTCCCTCATCGCTGATCTGTCGTGGAACACTACAACAAATATCAATATCAGTAGCGGACTAAAAACGCTATTAATCACTAGCAATAGCCTTTTTGGGAGCGCTAAGACATCGGACGCTATTAAAAGTCCTAAGAAAACATAGCGTTTTAAGAGAGTTATGGAAAGCGTTATAGAATTGAGGTATTATAACGTTTAAGACAAGTTATTTTCAACCTCTTACAGCTATTTAGCATGACTACGATACAGATTAATAACTTTTTTTCCTTATTATGTTCATACTCTTATAACTTTTTAAAATTATTATTGATATCCTTTTAAATTCATTCAAATAAATGATAATTCTAAGATATGTGATATATCTAAATAGGAACATTCAAATTAAAACATAAAACATTCAACATATCAATTGTTATCAATATCTACCAAGTTAGCAATAAAATTACGTCTACAACATAATTCATACAATGTCCAAAACCTTAACATTCAAAACAAGTAAAGAAAACAGAGGAATAGCTGGAGATATCAAAGTATCCAAAACGTCTAAATGCAATGGTGAAGTAAATCCATCCATCTTGACAAAATGCTTCAACAAAAAAGTCATCTCCACTGTTTAACCTGTAAGAAAGTGATCCACTATCAAAACAATAATCAAACTCAACTAAAACTTCTACCATTTAACCTATAAATAAAGCAAAGACTAATTACACCATTCACAACTAAAACTTCATTAGAATCACACAATTCTAGCCTGTAAAAACCTCTTGTTGGTGCGTTTAAGAAAGTCCAAAAACATTCAAAGTCCTAATTTCAGAGAAAGAAAATACAACATCCTTGTTTAAGAAATATGCTTAGATGTAAGAAGCCAAGAAAAACATTCAAAGTCCAAAAACAGCACAAAAAAAAATTACTCCAATCCCTTTTCTTTATTGGTTCAAGGAAGTAGACGTTTCCATATATTATGAAAACCTGCCAAGCATGTCGAGACAACAAGGAAGAATCCTCTCACCTTCTATCGCCAGGTCCAAACCCTCCTCTAGGACTTCTCCCATCGTACCCTCCATCGTCCCTCCTCGGCCGCTTATACAATGGCAGAGGTGAGTGGCGGGGCAACGAGTGCCTGCGGTCCCAATACGGCGACGGGGGCAGGCTGAGGCTGCTCCACCGCTTATAATCATCATAATAGAGCTCACTCTCAATTGTCTTTCCTCTTGTCCAGAATACCAAATCAAAAATTTCTCATCCTGAAATCCATAAACAAATCAATTATTTGTTATACTTTTTTTTTCATTTGTAGCTGATGAAATGAATATGTTACCGTGAAAACACAAAGTACCAACGATGGAATGGTACTTTTCATGAAGTAGTACCCTTGACTGTCCAACTATAACATAGTTGATGGTTTGCAAACAAAGTAATCACAGGAATAACAAAAACATCATGAACCAAACTAAAACTGAAATCTACGGAAAAATAGCATGTTGATAATAAAACAACCTGTTAGTTGAAGCATTTTCATATCCACGTCTCCTGTGAGAATATCCCTCACCTTCATCTTGTAAGCTGTGCTTGAAGTTGCAATCTGGACCCTTTTCACATTTTCCCTTGTTGAGAAAATCAAACAAACACCCCTCATAGATTGTTCCCTCGCATCCGCATCATGTTGAAAGTGACATTTTTCCCCTCGTGGACAAGAGCCAGAGGAAACAAATATAAAGCAAAGCTTATTACCATCTCCGTCTCCATGTTTCTGTCGTTTTTGTGAGACATCATATCTCCAGTACTGTGAATCAGAAACACCATCGGTGGATCTCTTTGCAGCTTCTTTTCCATCTACCATTTCATGTACTGTGTATGGAGATAAGGTAGTGCCAGCTGGCTTTGCACTACTGTGTATGTTATTAAAGTGGTTAAAAGGATTGTCCTACATAAGCATTAAGTATCTGTAAGGAGATGCAAGTTATAGATACATACCTGCTGCAGGAAGGAAGAATTATTGGAGCCTAAATAGCAAGAATCTATAGGAACCTGAAGGAGATGCAAATTTGTGACACTTTGAACATTCATTTTGAACTTAAAAACCATCAATCAAACACAGCCATAAGACAGGGAAAAAAAAAAAGCTAAAATTGTGGTTGAAGTAGTTCAGAAGTCCAATATACTTTCTCTTACAAAACCAAAAGAGTGAAAACAATCATCAATACATGGTTGAAGAAGTGCCAAACGGCCAAATAAACTTACAGAACTAAAAGAATGCAAGAACCCCCCAAAGAAACAGAACAGACACTGGTGCTTTCTGGATATCACTGATGTTGGTTTTCTGCTGTAAATCTGTCAAAAACAAAAACTTGTCACAAACTATTCTGTCATTTACAAATCTGTCAAAAACAAAAATTTTATGACCTAGAGATTGTGGGTTTTTGCTTGACGTGGCAGCAGAACCCTGGTTATGCTCTTTCCTTGGCAGCCAGTTCTTGGATCCGTGGCTCTGTGTAGTAGTCAGAGCGCCAGAGCTTCGGCATTAGAGCCTCACTACACAACATGAGAGTCAATATTTTCAGACCAAAAATAAAATCAGATCAACACCAAAAAAAAAAAAAAAAAACCATGGATGCACTGAATTCTGAAAGAGAGGGTTTCTGAATCTCTAGAAGTTTCAAAGAAACCCCACAAATCCGAATATCCATAAGTTTCTAAGAAACCCCATCAAAATCCATGGGGCGGATCTGGAAGCTTTGTTGGGCTTTCTGGGTTTTCCTTGCCATATGACGCCGTCACAGCAGCCCACTACCCCGCCCCAGCTAGATTTTCGAAATCGCAGCGCTGTCCCTGCCGAGGATTTGAGACGTGAGGGACGAACTGGGTTTGTTTTGGAATTGAGTTTTTGAGATTGATGAACTTTGGATGGGGGGTTCACGAGCTTGAACGAGAGAGAGAGAGAGAGAGATCCGAAAACACGAGAGAGGGGCTTCGGTTTTTGATGTTCTGGCTTTTGTTTTTGTTTGAATTGAAAAGAGAGATCTGAAAAACCTAAACTGAGTCTTCGACGGTGTGAGAGAATGAGTTTTTTTTTTTCCTTTCCTTTGTTCGTATAATGTATACGGGGAAGTTAGATTCATTTCAAACCCAAAAAAAAAAAGGAGGGAGGAGCGACGGGGAAAATTATTTTCAATGCCCGCCTGGTGTTCATTTTAATGTGTACATTTATATATTTTTAAATATATATAAAATAAACCTGTTAAAATGTCATGAAATTTTAATATATATATATATTATAACTATTTCTAAC